TGACATACTGTAGGATCACACTTATTATTGTTATATTTGGTTGATTACTATTAGCCTTTGAGTAAAAATGCTAAAGTAGTGATGCCCAATTTCACTCAAAATACCAGTGCCCAATCTAATTAGTATGCTAAAGTATATAAAGGAAGGAAGTAGAAAATACATGCCCAGAATGTTTATTACTTTCACTGGAATAGTAATTATACTAATTGCAATGTATGATCATATATCTATGATATTTATAATTGACTGATTATATTATAATATAACAATAACAATAACACAACCACAAATTAGAGTAAAATTGGAATATTCAAGCAATAGCAACACTGGATGCCTAATTCAAAACAGCCTTTACAAACAGAATGTAATGTACGTAATATACTGGTATTGTATCAAGAGAAGTTTGGGTAGAAGGATTTAGCTTGTACATGATTTACAATGACATTAAATGAAAGAAAAATGGGTGAAAAGTGATTTAAATACAGACCATAGGTGATGTCTTGTTATTGGCCATTGAATAAAAACAAAGCATTATTGATTAATGAATAATACTAAAACTATGCCCAACATAATTATTTATTATTCTAACTACTATATGCATGACCATGTATCTATGTTTGCAGAGCTTTTAATTGGCTGATTATTATTCTTTACCTTTGATTAAAATTATATGCTTGTTATTTTTCAGAAATTGTTATTAAATGCCAATGTATGCATGTATGTACATAATACTATCCTGGACCACACAAATTATTTTTATAATTGCATATGTAATATAAACTTTTAGCAAAGTAGCATTCTCAGAACTTTTCAGCAGAAATATACCAAAGTGGCATTCCCACATTTCCTGAGCAAAAATACATGACTACAATGCCATCATATAATTGGATGATTATTATAACTTTTGGGCAAACATACCAAAGTAATATTCCTAGAACAAAATTACCAAAGTAGCTTTCCCAGAAGAAATACCAAACTGTAGCAACATCATTATAATTGGTATAGCCTTTGATCAAATAAAGTAACATTCCCAGAACCTAGCCTTGAACAAACATAGTAATCATACCAAAGAAACCACACCAAATCTAAACATACTATTCTTACCAATTACCTTTGATTAAAAGGAGGAAATACTAATAAGTATATTTGTATTCCAGTGAAATATGCTGGGCATGATTAGTAGTTACTATGTATTACAGAGCCTGGCCCAGTGTCATGCCTAGCAGTAAGGTCAATCTCTGGGACATCAGCCTACATATCTTGGTCACTACCTCAAGAACAGAATGGGATAATAGTTTTCTATGAAGTAGCAGTTAAGGGAGTGTACAATGAAACTCACAACTCTTCAGTAAATATCATTAATGTTCATAATTTAAGTAAGTGCATCTTTTGAAATGTATTGATGTAAATACCATATTTCTATAGATCCATACACACGTTATACTGCAGTTGTAAGTGCTGCGACTTCTGCTGGCAAAGGGCAACCAACAATGCTTGAATTTTATTCATTAGAAGGAGGTAAGTCATAATAATTCTATATTTATGCAAATCAA